AGTAGAATTAGACAACGATGTAATACAAAATCAAATTCTTCCACTTTTGCCACGTAACACGTTTTTGGCTTGTGATAAGTAGTCAGGATGAGGCAGCTTTATCCTAAATATTGGCGCTTAAAAACATACAACTTGTAAAATTGCCTGCATATAGTTATGACTTAAATCCAATAGAAATGGTGTTTTGTCTTGCAAAATCTATTTCCAGGAAGACCCCTGAGTCATTGCAAGAGAATATTATGCTAGGTATTTCTCAACGCCTCTTAGAAGTAGATCCCCCTACTGTAAAAAGATACTATCGAATGTCATGGAGCGTTTTTTGTTAACTACAAAATCGTAAATTAATTTTAGCTATTTTAATTTTCAAATAGATTATAATAAATCTATTGAATGGATTATTTCTTCAATAAAGAATGAACAAATAAACTAAATAATGCCACTGTTCACGTTGTCTCTTGTGTTTGWGGAGTCTCTAAATTCATTTGCTCTGGTTGGGTAATAGTGACTAATAGTGACTAACTAACGACTATATATACTCACTAAAAGCTATCATTAGGTGCAGGCGCTTTACCCCGGCCAAATCTTTAGACAGAYATGCCTTCGTTACGTTTTCGCCATACGCGAGCCCCTGGTTTCATTGCTTCTCTCTATATTGCGGAGTGGTAAAGAGTTAATAACGTTTTAAGTAGTTTTCTTGAGTTAAAAATGTTTTATTTTTACATTATAACATAGACTGATGCACTGAAAAGGGAATAATGAAAAGATTGCATGAGTTTGAAGACGTGGAGCTCGATGAAGTTCTCTGGCGTTTTTACGCTGAGGCAAGACCCAAAGATGGCAATGCGACATCGTACAGCCGCTCATCACTACTGTGCATAARACATGCTATTGAGCAATTTCTCACAAGCCCACCCTTAAACCGAAACATCAAAATAACTAAAGGATAAATCTTCTACCTATCCAACAAGATGCTCAACTCTAAGATTAAAGCTATCAGCTCAGAATATAAGCCTCGGCTGAGCCTTAATTGTTTGTTAATTATCATTCCTGTCTGTTTAGATAGAGGATATTATATGGGAAATATTGGAAATATTGCTCTCACTCGTGGGATATCAATTCAAAACTTTGAAGATAAAATTCCGATATCTTCAAGCAACAACTGTATGTTGTGTTATTTAAATGATATTGGTGTAAGCAAAAATTGTAACACAATAATTAGTAGATCAAAAAGTTTGGACAYTTGAACATATGAATTATTAATTTATGACTTCTGCATGATTGAAAACTATCAAAAATATCAAAACTTTCAAAAAAATTTAATTCCTCGCTCGCAGCACACTATTTCAAACAAAATTGGGATCCCTGTGTCTCACGATAATATTCGTTTCAAAGTCGCTATTTTTGAGTTTGAGACGATGTCCGTATTTCTGAGTCAGCAAATCTCTTGATCAGCTGTCAGAGCGAGCTTCGCTCTCTTTACGATGAAATTTTTGAAGAGGAGGTTATATTCATCACAGTAATAATCGCTTTAAGCGATATTTCTAGAGGAAGACAGTGTGTTTTTATAAGCATTTTTTCAGCATTGTTGTGGGCTAACACGTTCGATATTTCGACATGGAATTCTCAGATCATCGAACAAATTCTAAGGAGATAAGTTTTGAAGACCACTCGACCTACCCGATGAAGAGACGATTAATACCCTTTGAACTAGTTACGTGTATGTGCCTGATCGAGTTTTAAATTATCATAATATCAGAAGATATACAAGTTTMAGTTAAATCAAATTATCATTGATAAGATAATCAATTTTGATTTATAGAATCAAGTCTTAGAATCAAGTACTATATTAGCATAACATCAGATAAACAAATGACTAACTAAAAGATAAACTATCAAATAAGGCGCTAATCATCCATCCCTGAATAATGATTGGCCAGAGGTTCGCGCCAAAAGTCGGTCCCTGCGATTCGATTTCTTGCAAGCGCGACAAGTCGGACTCTCACGCTCCGCGCTCGCTTTTTTTTCTTCTCGCGCTTCACACTCGGAGCTCTATTCTTWCTTTTTCTGAGTCTAAAGAGAGTCCGACTTGTAGCAAGTCTAGTGGGGGTGGTCTTTATTCATCATTTGATACAGGCACAGTCTAAACCAAATAAAATATGATGATTGCGCCGAATGTAAGCAATGGCTACTCTCAAAGTATCATCAATCCATCCATAGACGAGCTGGAAAAGGCAAGAAAACTAACTATCATGAGGTCCTCTTTTTAACCTGTGCGTCGATTATGTGACAAACGATGTGTTGTCTAGATCTCTGCCAGTACATGGGAACATGCAGCTCCAGCACGACAAAACATGACAATGAAAAGTTACGCAAAATTCTTTTGTTTTGTTTTCCAGATGARGCCTTAGCACCACATCGCAAGGGGTCTTATGCTTGATTATGCTTGATCCAATTTCTTTTCCAAAAAAACTCTCAACCATACATTATATAGAATATCTGGAAATAGTGTAAAATTGAAAAAAAAAATATTAATAAAGAATAAAAACAAACCAAAAGAAACAAGAACTGTAGGAGTATTCGAATAAAAATATTTGCGCACACAAAGCCTCTGGATTCATGTGGAGTGGAATAGACCGAACACCTACTGACGTTGAAGACGTGCTTGGACATGACTTTTTGTCTTCCTTTCCACCTAAATTAAAAATTGGCGAGGCAGGTGGTTCTGTTTCATCTTTGTGCGAACCCAAGACCTAAAATATTTTAATGCTGCGTTACATCTAGTCTACAGTGATGCATTTACGTGACATTGCACAATGTTCATAATAGTACCATGATACTTCAACCCTTACAATATAAGAAAACAATAATGGTATGCAATAATCAATTATTGTTAATTAAACTTACAAGCATTTCACTCAGTCCATAGTCTATAATGATAAGGCKGCAATTTGACTCCATGYTGGCCTTCCAAAACTTTGATGCGGCGTTGTATCTTGTCCTTCTTGGTCTCTGCATTCTCAGTGATAGCAACTGACTCATCGTGGGACCCTACAAGTTTTGATTGCTATAATACTATYATATATGAAGCTGGTGTCCTTGGGTCAACGGGCTGGTTTCTTAAATCAAAAGAAATCAGCCCAAGCATTTCATTTGACCGTTTTAATCTTTAAAAAGATTATTGAGACTAATTAACAATTAGACCTCGAGGTCGAGTAGACTGTTTCAGCATTACATTATGCCATCCTCAGAAGAATGAGGATGAGAATGAGCAATTAAAAATTGTCACATAAAAATTGTTCGTGTATATGGGACTTAATTCAGAGGTCTGAAGTCGGCAAGACTCAGAGGAACTGACATTTCTTTAATTAGATTTATTTCTTTGTAAAAAATAAAATAAATAAAAATAAATAAATTCAACCAAAACTAGATCAGGGGACCCGGTAACTGTAGCTTAATGAGTAAATTAATAGAGAACAAAGAGAATTATAATTCTGATCACAAGTAACGAAGGCTCAAGTTTACAGGAAAGTGAGTGAGTGACTTAGTGACTGAGTGATTGAGTGAGTTACAGACTCGTCCCCCTCCAATAACTCTTCGATTGCTTCGCAATCTTCGAGTTAAAAAGGTAGGTAAAACCAGCAACGGAATGTGTACTGCTGTCGCTGAATGAAAACATTTACATCTTCGTCGATTCACTGATTTGAAGTAAAGCTTTATGTTACGTTTCCTTTCAGAATTGGTATGGAAATGATATCAAGATGAGATTTTTGAAAAACTGCAGGAAGACACTTGTTGAAAGACTTTGTTTTGACGCTTCGACGTGCCGGCACTTCAGCATCACCGACGAAAAAATTCACAAAGCCTCAAATAACACATGAAAGCATTGGTCGTATGAACTCCGTTTCATGGATAAGAAGGTGGAATTCATGTTCATAGAGATTTTTTAATGAACTGGTATCTGGTAACAATATCAAACTGAAGACAATTTTATGCGAGCGATGCAAGAACTGCAATGACAACAAMCCGTACGAAAATATTCCCAAAGCTACAAATAAAGACCTTGGTCGGATAAATTACGTTTAATAAATAAGCTGGTATTCATATTTTTAGGGTAAACTAGTAGCTTGTTTATCGTGTACTTGTATGTAACGAATTTATAAAGAGACTCATTATGAACAATCGTTGAACTGAAAGAAATCTCGATTCTCAAGCGCAAATCGCAATTCTTGTACTACTTTTCTTATGTAGTATCTCAATAAAATGCAAAATACTCACTAAATTCCTCAATTTTTAGCTTCATAGAAAAATGCAACTTGCTTTTCACATGTTATTTACAATAATAAAGATGCAGTTAAGCTTATTACGTTTTTTATTTTTCACTTCCAATTTCAAGTTGCTTTGTTTATCTATAGTTTATACCGAAGATTCTATGCACTCCAAAACTACAAGAAATAGTAAAACTTCATGCAGAATACTCATAACTAGTTGTTGCCAAGTTTTAGGATACATTTTTGTATAAATAGGAGATTTTTTTCCTATTCTACTTCTAGTTTTGAATCGCACTTGACTAAAAATGGTGACGTCAAAACCATGTTTACATACTCTGATACAAACACGGCAGTCGGCCAATCAGAACGCGCGTAGTATCCAAGTTATTCTATAATTCTATTTATGCCATTTACTCTATGAAAGTCTCGTTATATATATAATAAATAACTTAAATAGAATAATTGAAGAAAAAGCCACGCAACTTGTAAAAAATAAATAAATAACTTATAAAACAAAAAATAACTTATATTAACTTACAGTACGGCTATCGGAACCGGGGCAACTTAAAAAAAGAGAGCCAATCGCGTTTATGTATGAAAACAATAACAATCCAAATTCAGGTGTCCACGGGAMGATATCTAACCGTTTTTTCATTGTAAGATTGCCTGAGAGTCAAGCCATACGAAACATATAAATCAATGGATCTTCCTCAAATCATACATAAATTTGATTTTCGAATGCTTTATTTCTGAAATTTACTACTATTGCTTGTTGATTACAATAGTTGCCTTAAACAATTTAATTAATTTACAAACAAGTTATTGTCAAATATTGGAAACCCCTTACCCTAAAACAGTTTTTAATCCCTGTCCACATCGTTCCTTTTTCGTAACGTTTGCTAAGACAAATAAGCTAGCMAAATGCAACRATGGAATGGTCTTTAGTCTTGTTTTAGTGTTGTTTTAGCTGAATCGGTTTTTTTATGCTCTAATTTATGTGATCATGTCTCGTTGACTTTTAGTTTTCCGTGCCATCTTTCCATTAAATCAGTCTTGCCCTTTATCCGTAACGGCACTTTACGCGGCATTGGCTGCATCTGAAAGAGCATTTAAACCGGCAACGACGTCTATATCTGTATCTTCGGCGACATACATGATGACAACGCCTTCGGCAACATCGTCTGTAGCAGCGACGGCGAGGACGACGATAACRACGTCGACGACCATAATACCTTCGACGACGACGCAAAAAACCGGGATCTATTTTTACRWATCAAGAATATTATACATTTAGTTATTTTTTAAAATTTAAATGTACTATCAGCATTACTAAATCATATTTTAAAGGTCTGTCCATTGTTTTCTAGAGTCTTTCAAACGATTACAGCAACAACAAGGTTAATGTACAATGTGGTGATTGGATTATTTTTGCGCGAAAGGTTTGATTTCTACGCAACTTCAAGGTTCTAGAACGTCTAATTTGGCATGTGCAATT